AGGCGGACGACACCGTGTCACTCGGCCTAACTGATGCTGAGGAAGAGATCGACGATTTCTTCGAAAGGACCTGGTATGTTTGCCATCCTTTGACCTCTAACGAGTCGTATGCTGACTGCCTGCACTCTGCAGTGACTAGTGTCGCAAGTTCTTCTCGTAGAATAGATGGTCTGCGCGACGATGTACCTGTACAGGGATATCAGTTAGATAAATTTTTCGATCCTTATAGTTATAGTAAAACGCGAATTATTTGGCCCAAATGTTATAGTGGCCCTTCAAACTATTTGAGATGGTTGGAGGGATGCCCCTCCCAAATATTCGAGGTGAACCCCAAATATTTGGGATGTATGTAGGAGCGAGGGGAGGAGGGTACTCCCCCTCCATCAAATATTTTCCAAATATTTAGTCTCAGCGCTACATAGCAAGGACCGTGCTCTGCGTGCGCTGTGGGTCCCCTTTGTGACTGCTCCAAATATTTGATAAATAATTCACCCAGATATGCTCCATTCAGTACCGCGGTGTGCGCGGTGACGTGGGTGCTCATTCAGGCTAATCGATTACACGCTCTCGACTACATCTACTGCTAGCGGAGGATAAGGAACCCATTCGTGGCAGAACGAGCACCCTCCAAGCTGCCCCAGTTGCTGGACGCCATCGAACTCGCGCTTGACACCAGCAGTCGCCCGCTCCGGGTGCTGGACGGCGAGATCCCGTGCTCGGATCTTTTGTCCTCGGTGTTGCCGTTGGGTCCGCTATAGCGTCGTTCGGACTTCCGCGAGCTTGCGACGACCAGAACGGAGAGCCGGAGGAGGGACCCCATGCACTGCTCCTGTTCAGACTGGCAGAGTATGGCACGTTCTCGGAACGGCGACCACGGTTCCACGAATCATACCATCATCTTCACCAAGGCCCGAATTTGCGGTCACGGTCGCGGTCTCGCTCGGGAGGATAGCATGCGGTGACGCGGCAGAAGGTGCAGGAGGAGCATTCAGGCTCATGAGTAGATTCGTGACGTTGCTTGCGATCATAGACATCTGCTTGCCACCTGAACTTGGTATGTCAGGAAGGCTGGGGCCATCTTCAGCTGCGAGCAACGACGTTGCACCAGCAGTGGCGTTGGCGTTGTTCTTCTTGAAGGACAGCTTCCACTTCGACGTCTTCTTGGAGATCCATCCGGTGGAGGCACCGAGAGAAGTAAGAGAAGGAGGGATGGAAGAGCGATTAGCGGCAATGCCATACCAAGAGAAACAAAATACGGTACTGGACGAACATCGGGAGTGGTGGGCATTGGTGTGGTGGCCGAGTATCGCGAAGTGCGGGGGATCTCGCGGGCCAACGCTTGAGAGGCTTGTGCGAGCGTCTGGAGGGTAACGTCATGCGCGGACGACAGACTCGTCGGGGATGTCGTTGTGGTGCCCTTGCCCTTGCAACGCCGCACTTGCGTCGCTTATAAGTGGACGTCGAGCGGCAACCTGACTTGCCCTCCATCTCTGCTTCGGCATCGTGCTGGTCATGATGGTCATGAAGGAAGTCCATAGCGCCCCCCTGCTCAGTCTCGCCGTCGGGAACAGGCAAGAGCGTGATAGGACTCCCATGCTTGTGCTCAAACACAGGACCCTAGGAGCGAGCCCGTGAGAGGTTGCGAGAGGTACAACGGGACATACCCTCCCCAGCGATGACAGAGTCCCGAACAGATGACGGCAGGAGTAAGGAATGGAAGGCAATGGCCCTACGCAGAGGCAATAGAGATGTTGCGAGTATGTCCACGGATCGCCCAGGAGATTGGGCAAATCCTTGATCCAGTTACCGAAGGCACGGGCGGAGATCCGCTTGCGATCGTCCTTGTGGTTGTCGAGGAGACAGAAAACATTGTTGGCCAGGATCTCAGCAATGGGGAAGGTCATGCCGGAGAAACACTGCTGAGGCTGAGGAGAGATGGGCTCAGTAATGTCCGAGCTAGAGGAGGAAGAGAGGGAGCGGGCAGAGCACATCGTGCCTGGGGCACATGTCTGTACTGGAGGACTTGACCGAGTTTGGCGGTGTCCTCGATGCGCCTGCAAGTATGTTACCATGGAAGCGACACGCAAGGAGGATGAGGACGTACTGGTAGTGATGAGAGACTCTCCAACCCTCTGTGGGTTGGAAGACGTCTTCTGCCAGGTGCCTTCTTGGTTAGGACAATACACGTCCAAGTGTCACAGCCAACGAGCTGTGCCACCAAAACAAACAAGGGCAAAGCTTACTGATGCAGAGGTTGGTGCTGAGAAGCGAAGCAACCAGAGGTGACACAGCAAGAGATGTGAAGAGATGTATTCCCTAGACTAGAAGGGGTAGTGAGGGAGGTAGGGCTGCTAGCTACCTACAGAGGAGATGGGGAATCGACGAGAAGATCAAGTCTGAGGTTCCCTGCCTCAGACTCCCTACTATATATACTAATACAATGGTGCACAGACCAGGTACCTATTGACCATCGTTTGGTCAGAGTTCTCTGCCTCATGTCCTACCCTCTGACCTGCCTCATGGTGACCTTACGACTAATACCTGAGTCGTGCCGAGTCCGGACC